GCCCTTTGTGGGTACCTGTCCACTTGGTTGTGGTTGTCTGTCAGGTATCCATAATGGGGGTGGGGGAATCTGAGCGGATTCCCATGCCAGAAAAGGGCACTCCTGCCGCGTACATGTACTCCAATTAGGGTGACCAGATAGCAAGTGTGAAAAATCGGGACGGGGGTGGGGGGTAATAGGAGCCCATTTAAAAATAAGCCCCAAATATCGGGACTGTCCCTATAAAATAGGGACATCTGGTCACCCTAATTCCAATTATGGTCCCTCAACCTGTAAATTTGTAAACAAGTGGAACTGGTACACTAGGAATAACCCTAGCCTGCAATTCCCCCCAGACAGAACTGGGCAGGGAGCTGCTGTCCAGCCCCCAAAGGCTCCAAGGGCAAGAAATATTAAGCGCCTTAAGTATCAAAAGCCCTTACTTGTACCCTTCAGACAGTGTCTCCCCGTACTGAGGAAATGTTCCCCTTGTGCCATTTCCCAGGCATTGGCGCTTCGGGTCAGGAGACCTTGGTGTCTGTGCATGCACCTTGGTCTCCCCCGGAATTGTATAATCTGCTGTACCCCAAATGGTGTGAATCTGGACGTGCCTGATCTCGCTCACAATGAGGTCCTGGCAGTTTTGCAGAAGGACACTCTAAAGGAGGAGACCGACCCCAGCCCTTCCTCGTTGCAACAGGAACTGCTGGCTAAGGTTCCCCCGCCCCCCCCTTCATTGTGGGCTGATCATGCCAACCCGGTTGGGCACGTTGGGTCTGCCCAACTGGCTGAAATTCACCTAAACCCAGCAAAACCCCTTCCCAAAGTGCAGTAGTACCCTCTCTCAAAATAGACTGAGAAAGGAATTTAACCAGCAATCACTTCCTGAATTTAGCTAGAAGTCATTATTCCTACGGTCAGTAAGTGTGACTCCCCCGTTTTATCGTGCTGTTAATACTGCTGTTCTTCCTTCCTTTCCCATTGTCCTTAGCCCTGCTACTATCCTTTCCTACAATGCACTGGTGCTGAGGGGTTGTTACCGCCTTAAGAAAAGATTGTATTAAGTCCGGACATAAAAAAAAATTAAGGTTATTGTTAAATAAGATGCATCTAAATAAATGTGTGTATGTAAATAGGTGTGTATAAATAAATAAAAGGGGAGATAGTCAAAAGCCCACCCTCCTTGCTAAATTGGTAGTGAAACAATGCCTGTGCCCATGAAAGAAATAATGCAACAAGAAAAAAAGATCAGGCCCAGACAAGCAGGCAACCGCAGTTTGAGGAAGTTAAAAGAAGGAAAATGAGAAGTTAACTCTGTAGTTACTGGAAAAAAATTAAGCAGTAAAACTATGTACAAATGTTAAAAAAAAAGGTGTTATAAAAAGGAAAATTCTTGGTTTCTTTGCAGCCATTCCTTTGGGAGTGTCTGTAAATAATCCAGGCAAAAGGTTATTTAAGTAATAATCATTTGACTATAAACAAGTTAGTCAAATTTCCTAAAGAACACTCCTGGTGTGTACAATCTTTGTTTTATAAGTTTAAAATAAATTGGTATTGTTTTGGGGTTGTAAAACCAAAAAATACTTTTGCCAAACAAAATAAACTAGTGTTGTTTAATTTTGGTATTTAGCATTTAATCCTTAAGGTAACTTAATGCTTTACCGGGTTTAAATTGTTGTTTGACCAGAAAAATGGTGAGGGGTTCTTGGACGGAGTTTTACAACAGTTTTGGCAGAGGTGTTTCTCGGTTTGCCGGAGCTGTTGTGAAGCTTTGTTTAGAAATTTTGTACCACAGTCTGGCATACCTGTAAGTAGCAACAGTAATTGTAAACCTAATATTACTGAACTGAATATAAAAAGTTGTGTGAAGCTTCACAGATCCAGTAGGGCCAAAGGCCCTTTGAAGGCCACTCCCAATCGAAAGACCGGACTCAGCCCTCATAACATTTCTACCAGGGCACCCGATGCGACTACCGGACAGGATTAGAATTCAAAACAACCTTGACAAACTATAGAATTGGGTTGAAATGAGCAAGATGAAATTCAATAAAGACAAGTGCAAAGTACTGCACATAGAAAGGGAAAATCAAATGCACAATTACAAAATGGGGAATAATTGGCTAGTTAACAGTACTGCTGAAAGGGATTGAGGGGTTATAGTGGATCACAACGGAATGAGTCAACAACGTGATGCAGCTGCAAAAAAGGCTAATATTCTGGGGTGTATTAACAGGCGTGTTGTATGTAAGACATGGGAGGTAATTGTCCCGCTCTACGTGGCACTGTTGAGGTCTCAGCTTGAGTACTGTGTCCTATTCTTGGCACCACATTTGAAAAAAGATGTGGACAAATTGGAGAGAGTTCAGAGGAGAGCAACAAAAATGATAAAAGGTGTAGAAAACCTGACCTATGGGGAAAGGTTCAAAAAATGGGAATATTTAGTCCTGAGAAAAGAAGACTGAGGGGGACCTGATAACAGTCTTCAAATATATTAAGGGCTGTTATAAGATGACTGTGGTTAATTGTTCTTAGTGAAGATAGGACAAGAACTAATGGGGTCTGCAGCAAGGGAGATTTAGGTGAGATATTAGGAAAAACTCTAACAGGGTAGTTAAACAATGGAATAGGCTTCCAAACACCTGTCAGGGATGATCTAGGTTTGCTAGGTTCTGCCTCAGTGCAGGGGGCTGGACCTTATGATTTCTCAAGGTCCCTTCCAGCCCTACATTTCGCTGATTCTATGATCCATGGTGTTGGGTGATTACTTGAGAATTTCTGCTTTTGTTAAAAAATTAAGTTAATTTCTAGCCATCAGGGTTGTGTAAGAAAGTTTGAAAATATGAAGTTTAAAGGCTCAAAAAACAGAAGAGAAAAAGAAGAACCCCAAATGCATTATATTAAAAAATATTATTTTTAAGCCAGTCTCATGATTTAGAGCGTGACATGATTTTTGAGTACTTGGGATTGGCAATACTGAGAAAGGGGTATTGTTTATAAACTTATTTCCCAGCATGCCTTACTCTCCTGTGTCTCAGAGGGAGACTGACTGGAACAACCAAGAACCAGCCATTATGAAATCCTTTCTCTTTACTAAATCCCCAAGATCCTACTTTAAACTTAACATTGTTCCTCTTCTTTGTGGTTGTATTCTTCTTTTTCTGCATCAGAAGGGTTTGCAACCTTGGTGCAAGGTTTCAGGATGCATTTCTGACCTTCTCAGAGAATTCTCACTCACCTACTCAAACCTCAGGGAGATGTGTGTGGTGGGGCATACTTTCTTGAATTACTTTACATTATTGTGGTAAATTCTCCGGATCACAGTATCAAGGTGATGATCATTGTATACTTCATTTCCTCAGGAGAAGCTGTCTGATGTACTGCATCAGCTATAGTGAATGCTCTTAAAGTTGTTTCATTCAGATGATCTTTCAATGTCCATGTCACTGCAGTCGTGAAATCTGCTTCTTGACACCTAAGAAATTTCTTTCATTCTTCTGACAGAGATTCTGATGCCTGCTTTTTTGTGCTGCTTAATTGAGTGTTACAATGCTTGTCTTGTAGTATTTGGTTTGTCATTTGATTAACAGTCTGCATTTGGTACCAGGATTTATTTGAGTACTTGGAATTTTCACAATGTGATCCAGTCCTGGCACAATTGCACAGCATAGCAGTCAATTCTGCATTAATTCTAAATATGTTTATGCAGATTTTTTTTTAATAAAGCCCTTCACAGAGAGGGACCTTTCAGCATTTGTGAGTTAATGAGTCTATATATGGGTACCACTCTGTCTGCAGAAGTTAGAACCTACTGAAAGTGGTTGAGCAAGTTCTGCTAATTCATGGTGGAAGGCGTGGCTTATTAATAGGACCAGTTTATAAGAAAAGTTGGTGTGCCTGAGCTTTATGCTCTTTATTATTATTTGAGTTCTCAATAAAGCCAAACCCCAGAAAAGAACAAGTTTGACCTTTCACAGCATGTGTGGATTTTATCTGGGTCAGTGTGTTCCTTGCTCAGACTGGGTCAGATTCTATGGTGAGGGATAATAAGCATTTAGATAGATTTGCACAATAGATAACACTAGTTTCCAAGAAGTTGTTAGTCAGTTGGCTTCATCATCCACATCCTTGAACATGCGTAACATTTATATAGTCTGTTGTTTTAAGAAGCCTGTAAATACATGTTTACTTGAAAAGATACAATGTAAGACCCATTATTGTTCAACATATTAGCTCTTACATAAATAAGTGAGAACAAGCTTTTCTTTAAAAAATAAACCAGGATTGCTAACAAAGGAAATAAATATGCCCTAAGCTGTGAGTAAGAAAGATACTTCAAATTTAGCACGGGTATAGGTTGTTCCCAACTTGTCCCTTTGTACTGAGCTTGAAGTGGATAGAAGACCATTGTGTGATGTTACATATTCCATTTGATCCATTTCTTGAGTAGAATGGGGGGTTTTGTTTTGTTTTTTTGTTAACTCACAGTCCTTCCCTGAACATAGCTTAATATGTGTGAAAATACATTTCTGTTCATTTTTAGATAAAGTATGTCCATGGAGATTTTGAAATTTAACAAGAACATGAGACAATTGCTTCTCACTAGAATTAAATGAAGGGTATATGTACTCTTAAGTTAAAAGACACATGGTTGTACGACTCACAGAATTTAAGGTCAGGTGGCTCAATTATTTTTAAAGAGCGATGAAAGGACTTTATTTTTTATGGGAGCTCTCCAATTGACAGAATGCTACAGTTCTGTTTGTGCTCAGGGAGAGGTGAAAAGTGTAGAACTCTTCTTACAGTCTTCAGAAGTTTTTGTCAATCTTTGGCTTAAAAAATGACACGGTTGTACAACCATATTCACTTCTCCATCTCTAATTGGAACTGACCCCTGTAGATGTGAGATCTGGCCGAATATGTGGTCATACAAAAGCTGGAAGATCTTTCATGTTAAAAATATTTTTCCCTCAGTAAAACAAATAAATGTGTGTAACTTACAGTCTGTGTGCTTATTTCCACAGGGCATACATCATAACAGACTTTATGGGCATCAGGAACGAAAGTTTTATGAAGGTTGCTGCAGTGGGGACTTGGATGGGAGATTTTGTCACAGCTTGGATGGTAAGAAAATTAATAATACACTTTAATGCAAAACACAAAAACTGTATAACTGTTGATTAAAGCAAAAAAATCCTGAACCCCTTGAAATCTGAACAATGTTTCAGACAAATACAAAAGTAACAATGGCAGAGTTTAGTAATGAGTTGGGAATCCAAAGGAGAGCCCGTTAAAATGAATTGGGGCCTAATTTTACTCTTCTGATGTCAATGGGAGTTTTGTCATTGAATTCTATGGAAGCAGAATTGGGCCCCTTCTTTGTTTTGAAATAGCACCAAGATAACATAGTGGCAAAGTGAAAAAGCAAGTAACAGCACAATCTCCATCTCTAGTGACAAGGAGAAAGCTGAGGAGGAAGAATTGACTAAGCAAACTGATTCTAAGAATGAAGCAGGAAAAGGAAGAGAACCAATAATATGTCTAAGATACACTCAGATGTTGTCTGGAAAAAGCCATCTTAAAGGACATTACCGGATTAAATTTGCTCCACATTTAGGTTTTTGTAAAAATAAGCTTTTACAAACCTAAGACTAAATGTTTTCATGAAGCTGCTTTAAATTCCAGTGAACCATTTTTAAAAAGCATGTTCCCTTGCCATGTTTTCAAACCAAACATGTTAGCAATGCATGAGAACAGGAAAGTGACAACTAACAACACATCAAAGTAAGTTTACTCATATATTTCTTGGTCTGAGCTGCAAGAAATACACTTTTTAAAAACAGCACAAATAGTTTAAAGTAAGTAAGATTTTTAAAATTCTGTTGATTTAAATAATTGAAGGTTTAATTTGAACACAGGCAAGATTTATTTTTAGAGAGATCTGATTCTGCCACCACTGATGTCAATGGTGGCTCTGCAGAGAGAAGTAGCAGCTACGATTTTAACTTTACAGAATCCATTGAAATTCAATTGCCATTTTCTTTTTCAGGCAGTGTTACTTTCTCTAACCAGTCAATGGTGCCTCAATTTGTGACCCCAAAAGAGTCAGCAGTGTTCAAGTTGCTTGTCCATTAATGCAGGAAATACAGCTCTGAACGTATTTCAGAGGAGTACAGACACATGGGGAGAAGGTGTCAGCATTTGACATGTCTAGTTAGTAATCACTGCTACCTGTGACATAAAGCATTGAAAACAAAGTACCAGAATAGAAAGAATCTTAGGGTATCTGTAAGAATTAGGAGCAAACACTGCTGGTACCATTTCTTAGTCCTTGGGGAATCATCTGAGTTTCTCCCCATTTATTTTCTATCTTCCACATATTTGGAACAGCATCAAGGATTTTTTCAGCATATTGTACAGTAAGTGTCAGTGGCTTGTCCAAGACAAATTACCCTCTACGAAATGGTGGCCATGAAAACCAAGTACACATCAAATCATCCATCTGAACAGGTTTAGAATAAAAACATTGCACAGCTGATCTGTGGACTTGATGTTGACATTTAATGTGTCTTTCTATCAAACTAGTAATAAAACTCCTGGCTGAGTCTGAACCTCATTAGCATGGTCCTTCTTTTATGGACTTCCACAGAGTTAAGCAGCTATGCAAGGAAAGATGAGGCATGATCTAAACCAAACGGAGTGGGGTCATGTCTATTGTAGATATGTTGCTCATGGTTCAAATGGTGGATTACGTGTTGGTCACAGTACATTAGGCAGTGTTCCAATTTGTCAGCTCTTCGCCCATCTCCTCCAAAGTACGTGTCACAAAGAAATATGCAGCACTGTGTATTATCACTTTAGGCATTGTATAAAACAGTTGACAAGTTAGGCTGCTATGCAAATGTCTGAGTTCAGAGGCCACTAGCATCCTGGACTCTCTTTTCATATGTGAATCTCTCTTTCTCCCTGTAGCCTTCATTGCCAAGTATATTAAAAACACTTGGGGATGTTATGCATGTTAGTTCATTCTCTGCTTTCTTCCACTGTGATATGTTGAATTTGAAGGTAGATCACTATAAAAAGCAAAATGGTTTGTGGCTTCCCTTCAGTTTTTCACTGATTTCCACTAAAAGGGCTATTTGATTTTAGAGGCAACAAAGTGTTTTCATTACAAAGGAGGTGTGCTCTTGCACAGAGCTAGTATGGGAACACTTACTTCTCTATAGAATTTCAACTTATTTTTTATCCACAAATAACAGCATTCCCTGGGGAAAATGATAGTTTTTGCAACCTTTTGAAATGTGCAAATTCTCACTTGCAAAAATGTGAATTCACATGGGCAAAGCCTTAAAGCAAAAATGAATAGTGAGACCACTGCTGCTGGGTCAGTCCTGCTATCGCTCCGCTTTGCTGCACACAATGTGGAAAGAGCAGACTACAGCAATGGCAGCGCTTCAGAGCAACTAGGCCTAACAGCATCAAAAAAGCACCAGTAGCAGTGTCAGCAGGAGGCAGACTGAGGTATGGTGGCAGGAGAAAGCCATGAACATGCTCCTGCATGAAAGTCTCCCTTAGAACTTTAATATTTATGTGGAAAAATCCATCGCAGAATTCAGGAACCTCTCCTATTCGATCATTAATCTCAATGACCATTCCTGTCCACTCCTCTGGAAGCCATGGCAAATCATTTTAGCTATGAGCAGGTATGGTATCATGCTTTTCTGGCTATTTGGACTTGCTTAACAACTTTGTGAATGCTAGTCACAGTACTGAGATATACTGAAGTGGCACAAGTGATTTGTAGGCACTTTGTATTCTGAGAAGTCCTCCAATACTGCCAAAGCTATAAAGAGGAAAAGAAGGACAGAAACATCCAGTTTTGTGGCAGGTTCTAATTTACTGTAACCATTATATTCTAATGTGCTTAAGAGGCTTCTGCAATAACTAAAAGTCAGCCATACCTGTGCTATTAAGTATAAGATGAGAAAATGCAGATGGTATTCTCATTTTTGTATACTGGAATCCTGTTGGAGTTCAGATCCCCATGCTCCATTAAATTGGTGACGGCAGAAGTCAGCACTGATAATGTCAGTATGAGTTGTGGACTTTCATTTGCAAAATGAATAAGAAATAAAAAATGCTATTCTAGCACAGGGCAAGACATTTCTTAGAAGTTGTCTTAGGATCCTAATATCAGAAAAATATTTGAAAGGGAAGAGTGTACTTTGGAAACATTGCATGATTCATGTATGGAAATCAGAATTTACCTCCTAAACCCACTCCTTGTGGACATTGGCTCACTTTATGTCAGGATTTGATCCAGCTCCAGTTGAAGTCAATGAGAATCTCTCATTAAGTTTAAAAGAGCTGGCTGAGCCCTAGGCATGCAAGCAGGGAGCATGGCAAAGAGCCGCTCTCCTTTTCTGCCCGGCTTAGTGGCTGTCTATAGTTGTACTTCCTGAGGTCTGCCCGCAGTGTTAGACTCTCCAAATGGGTCTGGGAAGGGAGGGTTGCAGACAAGACACTGACTACCCCACCCTTCTGCACTTATCCAGGTATGAGATGGGCGGAATGTATGCTTCACTTCTGAAATGGTGGCAGAGCTCTTGCTCTGATGTGCCCAACCCATAACTCTCCAGAGGCAGAGGCTCAGTTGGTCAGAATACCTCCAGATAGTCCTGTTGCAGTGTAGACTCTCTGCATCCCTTCCCTACAATATAGACTCAGACCACTATATAACCTCTGTATTTTTGGATGGAAGAATTTGTCTATCAATAACTGCCGAGTAGGCTGCTTAGCTCCGTGTTTCAACCTTGTTAGCAATATATTCCTCACCCTCACCCACACACACACACTACTTGAATATATGATGTGGTGTAGGTTCAAGTAATACAGCATGTATATTATATTTTAATAAACCAGTTGCTTAATTTAACCTTCTGATATATCAATAGTAGGTGTAAGCTTTGTTCAGATTGTTTTATCGGTTGCTCTTCTTTGTAGTAAGAGTAGCTTATTACTTATTGCCCTGAATTCAATTTTTAAATAGTTCTTCATATCCCATTGGCAAGAATGTGTTTTATTTACAGTATTGGAACACATTTACTTGTGTCTATTTTGTTATCATTGTGATTTCGAAAGACTGCCTTTAGTTGAAGAAAGTGGGAGAACAAACTGTTAAAATGATATTTTTTCACAATGCAGCTCTTGTGTCTATTAGAACAGAAGATTATTTTCATCCTCATTTGTTCTCACACAAGCTTGCCTATCTCAACATGCTAGAGGAATGAAGGACACACGGCTACCATGCACTTATTAGTTTGCGCCACATCTTTGTTTTTCTTTTATCTGTTAATGTATATGTTTTGTTATGGTTTATTAAAACAAATTAAGCAGAGAAGGAATTCCACTTGATGCTGCAAAAACTTTTCAGTTGCTGAAAATAGCCTGTGCTAAAATGTACTACAGCCCAAATGGTCAAAAATAAAATAATAAAGTGGTTGAAAGAGAAATCTCCTTTACTACAGCGCTGAATTTAAACAGAATGCATTTTTGTATGCAAAAATAAAGTGCAACATATTCTATAGAAATAGTAAAATTCCTGAGATACTGTCTTTGTTCTCTAGAAGTAGGTTTTGGACAGCCACAAATATTCACTCTAAAATTGTGTGTGAGTGAAAGAGTAATCCATCTGTCCACACATATGGTGAGAAAAGCAGAGAAATTTGTTCTGCAGAGTACTGCATATTGTCTCATTCACAAACAGTGAAAGAACTACCATTTTTGCTGCCTCTTCTGTGGCAGTTTGGCATGTCATGAGCCCTGGAATGACTGACATCATCTCTAACTCATTATTCTGTCAAGGGTTGGGCATGACAATTCAGATTATGATCAGTGTCAATCTTTTTGATTGTTTCCCTTTCACTGATATATCAAATGACAGAATAAAGCTGTAATTGAATTTGAAGTGGCATCTGAAAAACAGGATAGCTAACAACTCTGCTATACTTCAGAGGTGGAAATGAAATTAAACTGTGAAGCATGAAATGGAAGGAGCAGAATGGATGATAGATATTGCTAAACTCACTTAACCACACTGCACACGGATGTAACTAATGACCTCA